TCAACATAGTACTGGAAGTCTTAGTCCTACCTTACAATTAGGTAAGAAAAATAAATAAAGAACATCCAAATTGGAAAAGACAAAGTCAAATTGTTTCTGGGTTCTATATAGGAACCCTAGAGACTGTACCAAAAAAATTGTTAGAACTAATCAACAACTTCTGTAAAATTGCAGAATATAAAATCAACATACAAAGTTCAGCAACATTTCTATATGCTATTGGTAAACTATTCGAAAAAGAAATTTTTAAAAATTCCATTTACAATAGCTGCAAAGAACACATGCCTAGGAAAAAATTTAGGAAGGAGGTGAAATATCGATACAATAAAAACTATAAAACATTGGTGAAATAAATTGAAGAGGACATACACAAAATATGGAAAGATATCTCATATTCATGGATTGGAAGAACTAATATTGTTAAAATGTCCATACTACCCAAAGCAATCTACAGATGCAATTCAATTCCTGCCAAAATACCAATGGCATTCTTCACAGAAAAGGGGAAAAAATCCTAAATTTTGTATGGCACCACAAAAAAGACACTGAATAGCCAAAGCAACCTGAGCAAAGCTGGAGTCATCACATGGTCTTTAAAATATACTACAAATCTATAGTAACTAAAACAGCATGGTACTGACATAAAAATAGACATACAGAGAATGAAACAGACTAAGGAACACAGAAATAAATCCACACATCTATAGCCATCTGATTGTTGAGGAAAGAGTCAAGAATAAACATTGATAAAAGCACAGTCTCTTCAATAAATGATACTAGAAAATCTGGACATCCCCGTGCAGAAGAGTAAAACTAGACCTCTAGCTCTCATTATACATAAAAATCAACTCAAAATGAATTATTAAAGACTTAAATATAAGAACCAAAACTATAAGACTACCAGATAAAGACATAAAAGAAATGCTTTATGACATATGACATTGGCCTGGCTAAGGATTTTTGAAATAAGACCTCAAAAGCATAGGTAACAAAATAAAAAATAGACAAATGGGACTACATAAAACTTAAAAGCATCTGCTCAGCAGAGAAACAATCAACAGGACAAAGAGACAACCTACAGAATGGTAGAAAATATTTACAAGCTATGCATCTGACAGGGGTTTAATATCCAGAATATGTAAGGAACTTCAAAAAATCTGATTCAGACTGACGGTACTAGGAAACTATGGGGGGGAGGGGGATGGGATTAACAGTCACAAATATCTGTCTGGGGATGGGGAAACACCTCTTCAACAGGGTGCCTGAATGAAACGTAATTGTACACCTAACCCTTAACTGTACCCCACAAAATCACAATAAAAAACATTGATTATAAAAAAAAGGAAAAAAAATCTGATTCAAAAATGAACAGAACACTTAAATAGAAATTTCTCAGAAGAAAACATGCAAATGGTCAAAAAGTATGTGAAAAAATGCTTAACATAACTAATCACTAGGGAAGTGCAAATCAAAACTACAATGAAATATACAATAATTTATTGCCCACTATTGCATATCAATAAAAATTAATTTTTTTAAAAAAGACTCAATAAGATATTACCTCATCCCAGTTAGACTGGCTATTATCAAAAAGACAAAGCATAGCAAATGCTCATGAGGATGTGGAAAAAGGGGAACACTTATACACTATAGGTGGGAATGTAAATCTGTACATCTGTCAAGAATACAGATGTTTCTCAAAAAATTAAAATAGAACTACCATATGATCCAGAAATCCCACTACTCAGTGTATATCCAAAGAAAAGAAAACCAACACGTTAAAGAGATATCTGTACCATATGTTTATTGCAGCACTATTCACAATAGCCAAGGCATGGAATCAGCATAATTGTCCATTAAGGGATAAATTGATTTTTTTAAAGTGGTACAGTGATGCACAATGAACTATTATACAGCCATAAAAGCAATAAAATTTTGTAATTTGTGACAACATGGATGATCCTAGAGAATATTATGTAAATCAAATAAGTCAGGCACAAAAATAAAAATACCACATAATATCGCTTATTTGTGTAATTTTCAGAAAGTTGTTCTCATAGAAGTAGAGAGTAAAATAGTGGCTACTAGATACTGAGGATGATAGATGGGATAGGGGATAGGGAGAGTTTGGTCAATGGGTCTATATTACACTTAGGATAAGTAAGTTCTGATATTCTACTGCACGGAAGGGTGAGTACAGTTAACAATAATGTATTGTATATTTCAAAATAGCCAAAAGAGAGGATTATAGTTATTCTCACCTCAAGTATATGATAAACGTTTGAGATGATGGATATGCCAATAATTCTGACTTTATTACTACACATGTATCAAAACATTATACTGCATCCCATAAATGTTTACAATCATTAACTGTCGATTAAAAATGAAACAAAACTTTTAAAAATATGCAAAACTTTCCAATCATCAGAGGAAGAATGGAATAAAGAAAAGAGGAAAAAGAATTTTTTTAAAAAATTTTATTTTAAAGATTTAACTGTTGGCTGCTCGTGTGTTTTCTTTTGAAAACTATCTATTCATATCTTTTGCCCACTGTGTAATGGGGTTGTATGTTTTTTTCCTTTCAGCACATTTGAGTTCCTTGTAGATCCCTTCAAAAAGTGGGCAAAAAACAGAAATAGTCACTTCTCACAGATGCTGGTGAGGATGTGGAGAAAAAGGAATGCTTCAGACACATGAAAAAGTGCTCAGCCTCACTCATCATCAGAGAAATGCAAATCAAAACCACATTGAGATACCACCTAACCCCTGTAAGAGTGGCCATCATTAATAAAACAAACAACAACAGATGCTGGTGGGGATGTGGAGAAGAAGGAATGCTTCTACACTGCTGATGGGACTGCAAACTTGTACAACCTCTCTGGAAAACAGTCTGGAGATTTCTGAAAGAACTAGAAATTGACCTTCCATATGACCCAGCAATTCCGCTATTAGGAATATACCCAGAGGAACTCAAATTATTCTACGAAAAAGATACCAGCACAGGTATGTTTGTTGCACCTCCATTCACAATAGCAAAAACATGGAACCAACCATGTTGCCCATCGAAGCTGGACTGGATTAAAAAAATGTGGTATGTATACACAATGGAATATTATGCAGCCATAAAGAAGGACAAATATATGGACTTTGCAGCAAATTGGATGGACTTGGAGTCTATCATACTCAGTGATTTATCACAGAAACAAAAAACTGAGTTCCATATGTTCTCATTCATAAGGTGACCTTGAACAATTATAATGTTATAAGGAAGTGATTGGCAGTAGTGGAAAACTGTCAGGGGACAGGGGGTGGGACTGGTAGTTGAGGGAAACTGCTAGGGGAGGGAGGGGCATACCTCATCAACCAGGGTACCTGCATGATCAATGTTTGTAGATCTGACCCTGAATTGTACCCCACATTTTTATAATAAATAAATAAATGAATAAATTTTAAAAAGCATAAACTGATAAAATAAAAAACAAAAGAAAAAAAAGAATTAAGAAAAAAATCTAGTTTAAAATACTATGAGGTGACTCAGCATTATCCTAAGAGACATTAGGTGCTAATAATGAAAGTGTCATACAAAACAGATCAATCTGCTCGAATTTTATCCTGAAGTCTCTGACTATTTAAACAAGGTATCAGCATATTGAAAGTTTTACTCTGGTATCAGTATAGAAAACCTACTGGTGAGATAAGTAGATAAACCGGTAATCAGGTGTGGAAATCAGTATAGGTCAGTAATGCTGAAACTTAAATAGTAATAGTAGACTAACAGCAAAAAATGGATATAAGAGAAAATGTAGAAGTGATTAGATGTGGAGAGATGTGACAGGAATTCCCTCAGTTTTTGGTTTCTGCATCAGGCAGATGATAATGATGATACACCATTAGTCAACACAAGGAATAAAAAGAAAAAAGAAAGTAATTTTATGACAATTGAAAGCAAGTTCATGTCTAAAAGTGTTTTGGTGGAGTCTTTAGGTTTTTCCAAATATAAGATCATGTCATCAGCAAACAGGGATAATTTGACTTCCTCTTTTCCGTTTGAGTGCCTTTTACTTCTTTCTCTGACCTGATTGTGCTGGGCAGGACTTCTAGTACTATGTTGCATAGAACTGGTGAAAGTGGGCATCCTTGTCTTATTTCATCTCTTAGAGGAAAAGTATAAAATCAACTACTTAGAATGATTTCTTTACATGTCCGGTGCTCTCCTGATACATTATGTTCCATACATGTTCAGAGAGAAAAAATCATGAGGACTGCAGAGGGAGGTGAAGTATGAATGGAATGTGAGGATCTGGAGACAGTGAGTATAGGCAATTCTTTCATAAAGCTTACCACTGGAAGGAGATAAGCAGTAGTCTAATGAAGAATTTTTCACTGTGGAGGGGACTTCAGCAGGATTTGTGGATTAGATGGAACAAGCCACTAGAGTGAGTGAATAAGAAGAAATAAAGAATAAAATAAGTTCATTAAAGGAGTGAAATAATAGACCTATATGAAAAGCATAGATGGTCAGAGTTGAATCTAGATCTTTAAAGATCTTGAATAACATAACTGAATTAAGGCTAGTGCAGAGCCTAATATCTGTAATCTCAAAGATTTGAGGGGTCCAGAGGGGAAAATTACTTGAGGACAGCAGTTTGAGACCAGCCTGGGTAACATAGTGAGCCCTCCATCTCTACAAAAAATATTAGTCAGGTGTGCTGGTGTGTGACTGTAGTCCCAGCTATTCAGGAGGCTGAGGTGGGAGGATCTCTTGAACCAAGGGGATTAAGGCTGCAGTGAGGTATGATCATGCCACTGCACTCCAGCATGGAGGATAGAGTGAGACCCTGTGTCTAAAAAAAAAACAACCAAATACACACAAACAGAAAAACCCATAACTGAATTATGTCGAAATGTTATGATTCCTAACCTTTGACTCATGACTTTGCTTTTTTGACTCAATTTTTTACTTAAACTCTCTTCAGACAGGCTCATTGTCACTCATCATGAGCTGTGCTCCCAATACTTCACACTTTCCAGTCCTCTTGCTCCTTGGGTTTTCAAGAGTTAATGTCTCCTCCCTACTCTCCTCTTCTTTCTGTTCCTGACTATTTACCTGACCACCATATTGGGGAATATGACTCTGGTGCTGCTTATCTCCTGGGACTCCATATTTCACTCACCGATGTATTATCTGCTCCATGGCCTCTCCATGATAGACATGGAGCTATCCACAGTCACCCTGCCCCAGTTGCTGGCCCATCTTATATCTGATTACCCAGCCATTCCTGCTGTCCGCTGCTTGACTCAGTTCTTTTTCTTCTATGCATTTGGTGTTATAGATACTCTTGTCATTGCTGTTATGGCTCTGGATTGCTACATGGCCATCTGTGACCCTCAGCACTATGTTTTGGTGATGAATCGCCAACTCTGTGCCCATTTACTAGCCTCGAGCTGGGTGGTGTCCATAGTGCACAGCATGCTGCAGGTGGGTTTCCTCCTGCCACTTTGCTGGACTGGGCATGCTAGAGGAAATTTTCCTCATTCTCACTTCCTTTGTGACCGTCGACCACTTCTGTGAGCCTCTTGCTCTGACATACATTCCAATGAGCTAGCAATATTCTTGGAAGGTGGCTTTCTCATGATCGGCCCCTGTATACTCATTGTACTCTCCTATGTCCGAATTGGGGCCACCATCCTACGTTTGCCTCCAGCTGCTGGTCACCATCGAACGGTTTCCACCTGTGAATCTCACTTCACCATGTTTGGCTTCCTCTATGGCACTATCATTTGGGTCTACTTCCAGCATCCCTCCCAGAACTCTCAGCATCAGGATATGGTGGCTTTAGTAATGTATACTGCCATTACACCTTTGGCCAACCCTTTTGTATACAGCCTCCTTAATAAGGAGGTCAAGGGTGCACTTCACAGGCTCCTTGGGCTGGGGAGGGTACACTCTTGATTAGCTTGCTGTGGGCCATATTGGGTAGGTGAGAAAAGGCATGGGCATGTTTTTAACATGGTTGGTTTGGAGGACATCAGAGTGCAGGATGACCTAGATAATTTAAGGTACTCCACATTTGGCTTTTGTCAATGTGGTTCTCTGATAGAGCCATGGACATTTTACATCCATACACACACAATCAGGACTCCTTTATTAGCATGCCTCTGGGATGCCTCCATTCCATTTATCTTGTTATCAAAGTTAATAAAATGAGTCACTAGGACTCAGTAGCTTCAATTTTTGAGTTTTGAGGGTAGGATTGTGAAATTATGAACTAAAGGAAAGGCAGTGGAGCTAATCATTGTTACATTCAATGTGATGTGCTTTCTTTTGGAGGTATGTTGGTGTACATCAGAGAGTAAGTAGAAGCCAACAGTTTTGACAAATAGGGCAGCAAATTCTCTACCTATTTCATTCAATGAGCAAATATATGCTGCAGAATGAGTGTGAAATGATAGTCATGATTCTGCTATTGCATATGTTAGTCCTAATTTCCATGGGCTAATAATAGTGCAAGGATCTAACTCTGATGCATGTGACTTCTATGTTATATGTTTTAAATTAATGTTTGTGTACATTTATAAAATAATACATAGATATAAAATACAAGCTAACTACTTTGTTTTATAAAATAAGAACATGAACTGTTTTAATAATAAAAAAATTGACATTACTTAGCTTTTTGGCAACTGTAACATGAGCCTCTGCATTAGTACCTCTTAAAAGATTGAAATCATATTTCTTTCTAACTTTTAAAATGTTTTTATTTTTAAAATTGTGAGATACATTATGGGTTATGTATACAAATATTCACTGTGCAGGTATCCTTGTTGATGAGGTGTGCCTCTCCTTCCCCAGGCAGATTTCCACTACTGTCAATCCCGCCTCCCTGCCACCCCTCCCCTCCTCAGTCTCCCACTACAGTCAATCCTTTTCTTATAGTATTGCAGTAGTTGTTCAAGTTGCACTTATGAGTAAGAACATGTGATATTCAGTTCTTCATTTCTGTGAAAGATCACTCAATATTATAGACTCTAATTCCATCCAGTTTGCTGCAAAGTTCATGATTTTGTTCTTCTTTATGACTGCGTAATATTCCATCATGTATATGTACCAAATTTATTTTATCCAGTCCTCTTTCGATGGGCAGAATGATTGGTTTCATGTTCTTGGTATTGTGTACAATGCTGCGATAAACATACATGTGCAGGTACCTTTTTTATAGAGTGATTTGAGTTCTTCTGGGTATATTCCCAGTAGGAGGATTGTGGGATCATATGGAATGTCGATTTTTAGAACTTTCAGGAATTCCCACACTGTTTTCCACAGAGGCTATACTAGTTTGCACTCCCACCAACAGTCTAGAAGTGTTCTCTTTTCACCACATCCTCTCCAGCATCTGTTATTTTTTGAGTTATTGATGATGGCCATTCTGACTGGAATTAGGTGGTATCTCAGTGTAGTTTTAATTTGCATCTCCTTGATGACTAGTGGGGCTGAACATTTCTTCATGTATCTGTTGGCTGCTCGTATGTCTTCTTTTGAGAAGTGCCTGTTCATATCTTTTACCCACTTTTCAATGGGGCTGTTTTTTTCTTTTCAGCACATTTGAGTTCCTTATAGATCCAAGACATTATGCCTTTGTCAGACATAGAGTTGACAAATATTTTTTCCCAGCCTGTGGGCTGTCCCCCTGATCTCTTGATGGTTTCTTTGGCTTTTCAGAAGTTTGTTAGTTTGATAAGGTCCCACCTGTCTATCTTGTCTCTTATGGCATGGGCACTTGGGGTTTTGATCAGGAATTGGTTGCCAGTACAATTTCCATAAGAGTGTCTCCTGCATTTTCTAGGGCTCTTATAGTTTGAGGTTTTATGTTTAGGGCTCTAATCCATTTTGCCAGATCCTCCTCCTGCCGGGCGTGAGGTTTGCTGAAGGAGAGACGGAATAGGCGAAAAAAGAAACTTACCACAAAATGATATATTTGGACACCTGTTTGCAGGCCAGATGCCTGCAAGTCACATGACATTTAATGTTAGTTAACAGAAAGTTTTTACACCATTTTGTAAAGGGGCAAGACAAAGAAAGTTCCTTCATGTACATTATTTTTTTTAAAGTTACCACCATCAAAAGAGGAGAAGCGGCAAGATGGCGATGGGGCAACCCGGTCTCTGAAGCCCTCTGCAAAGGAGATCTGGAGTGGGTCTAGACTCTCACCCCGGGTGGCTGTGGACCCCAACATCACAGCCTGCTCTTCATATGGAGCTTGGCCGTTGCCACCGCTGGGACATCGCAATGCACCGGACAGTCACTGCGATGCAAACAGTGCCGCCGCAGCCCCTCCTCCGGCCACTGCTGCCGCCACTGCCACCACTGCCACCACTGCCATGGCCACGGCCTCCGTGACGGCCATAGCACATCACACCACCCGTGTCCAAGGTGATCCACATCAAACCCCTTCAGGGAAGATCTGCTGGGATTGCTGCCACCTCTCCTGCGACTGAGACTGTCCTGCCCGCCCACCATAAGGCTCCTGTTGCCTGCCCTGAGGCAGGCAGCCATCTTGTTCCTGTTCGGCCCCACCCCCTCTGGGGCGAGCAGCTGAGATAGCACCACCTGCTGGCAATTCAAGGTAACAACACCGAAACGGGAGAAACAAGCTTGATAAAGACATAGACCAGAGTGCTGAACGGAGGGTAGTCTGAACTGTCCTTCACAGCAGATCAGGGGAAACAGCAGATCAGGGGAAACTGACCCTAACTGCAAACTAATTTACCAGCTTGAAAATAAAACTAGAAATCAGACCTGAAAGGACATTGGACTTAAATGAAATATCTCAGAGTGTGCTTCATTGACTATATTAGTTTAATGACTTAATTCTATTCCTACTGTATTGTTCCCTTTTTTTCTTTTTACATTTTCCTTTTCTTCTCTTTTCTTCTCTCTGTAAACCATATCCTTGTATAGAGGAACAGCACACTAACAAGGTGGTTGGTTAACTTGTATGTTAGCATCACTATATGTTTTATTTTTTATTTATTATTTTTTGTATGAGAGTTGGTTCATCTGTAGCTGTGGTCTATTGTTTTTTTCTGTTTCAGTATAAGTTTCTCTCTCTATTTGTTGGCAGACTCGTTTGTTTCCCCCCTTACTCCACTATCCCTCCACTCCCCTCTTTAACCCACTATCTGCTCCATTCTCAACCCTCTGCTAACCACATTTTATTTCAGGGAGTAAACCTATAGCCCCACTGCATGGACAGATTCCAGGGCAGTGGGAAGTGGGTTCCACATTAACCACAAACCTGTCAGCGAATACCAGGACCTGCAGACAGATTTTGAATCACAGCTGTCCCCTTAAGTAAATCTCAAAACTGCAAAAAGGACCACCTCCAACCTACAGTGCAACTCCAGAATTGAACAAAGTAAGAGGACATACATTAAGAATAGGAGATTGAACAAATGAAGTAAAACCAATCCCTTTACCCCTGAATAACAGAATTAAAGAAGACGGTGACGTGGAGGGAAGGAAAAAGTATGGAGGGGGAAAAACCGCACAAATGAAGAAAAACAAAAAGAAGAATATAGGTCTCACACAGACCGCTGGGAAATCAGACATGAGAAAACAGATCCTGGAATACAAACAATGAGAGCCCCCAGAATGACGGGTTACATGCAACAAACCCAGACATCAAGACATTAATGGAGAGAATTTAAAAAATTGAGGAGAGACAAGAGGAAAATAGGAAGGAGCTGATGTCAGAAATGACAGCAGTAAAGAATACTGTGATGGAAATGAACAACAGACTAAAAGCATGGAAAGCAGAATCAGCCAAGCAGAAGAGAGAATCTCAGAGCTCGAAGACCAAACACAGAACTAACCCAAACTGTTAAAAGCATAGAAAAGAAGCTCAAAA